AGGTCATTAGAGTATGAGGAGGAGGAAGAGAAAGTTTCCCTTTCTGAACCAAACTCCAACCTGTCCTCTAATAGACTGAAGCTTGCAATTCAAAGTTCTCATCCCACAGAGCCTCCCTTGGGCTTTCTCAGGTGTGGTCACACACATGAGCAGTTGGCCCCAGAGCGGGCATCGGGTACCTGCGGGTTTTCTTTTCTCCCTTATGGCTGATGTGGGCTGAGTAGAGTATGGAGTGAGTGATACCTTGTGCTGCTGGGGTACATGGTGCAGGTTGGCAGTTGTGAGCTATGACAGTCACAGGTCTGTGCCTTGCCACCTGCTTCCCCTGACTGTAAGATGGGATTAATGCTAGTAACTCCTTTAGGGTTGCTTGAAGACTCGATTTGATATTGTTCCTAGTGAGCCTAGTGCAGCATGTACAGATGCTGTCTGCTACATGTAGTTTTTCAAATTAGAAACCCAGAGTCCTTGGCTAATGAGAGGCTTCACCTGTCCTTGGAGTTTGTCGCATTTTAAACTGGTGGTGACAGAGGAGGACAGCCTCACTTCTCAAGGGAGATCTACTGTCTCCAAATGATCTTGGCTATTTGTAATCTGTGTAAGTAGTTATATACCACTTCTTAGAGTGCATATTCTGACTGAGCTGTCCCAAATGGCCTGCGATTCTGCATGTCTATCAAGTGCCTATTTTACCACACATAAAGTAACAAGCAGGACACACCAGTATCATGGGGAACCTGTTGCCGGGGACAGGTAGGCCCTTTGATAGAGGAAAGTCACATTGTCTTCTGAAGAGAACCAGGGAAGATTTTGGCAGTCAGTGTTTGAAGGGGTTGGGATGTCTTTTTATATCTCCAAGGACAATGAGAGAAAAAGCATATGGCATCTTTCAGTGGTTTGTTTTGAACTCTGAGCCATTGTAATCTCTCAGGATCAGCCTGGTGGATAGCCAGCTGAATGGACTTCAGAAGAGCCATGCTGGAGGGCTGGCCTGCACCAGCAGTGTTTCTGGACATTGGCCCAGGTAAAGAGCCAGCCCAGACGGTGGAGGAAGTCATTATGTTCTGTAAACACAGAGATACAAGCACTTTGTCCGGTGTGCCACCCTGTGAGTGCCAAGCACATGCATGCACACACGGTTTGCTTCTTTATCTCGTGCTTTATTTTCCATTGCACAGGATTTGGGAAAAATCTTCTCATTTGGCCAGCTAAACCAGAGAGATGTTATGAGGGGTTGAATCAGTCATTTTTGTTAGAACCATTGTCTACCTTGGGCTTGGAAGGAAATTATAATTCAGCAGGTCCCTTCTCCCGTTCAGATTTTGGTGTACAATTTGCCCCCTCAGTCTTGGCTCAAGCAGTGCCTGACAATTCAGCTATCTATGATCCTTCTTGCTTGGATCACTTAGGAATCTGGATGTGATTTGGAGCGATGGTACTATCTGAAATTTCAGGGTTGTAATACCAACGTTGGAGACATGATAAAGGAACAGCATATTGATTTCCATAGTCATGTTCTAACCCTTGTAGCTGATAAATTTCCATTTTTTGTGACACCCCCCCCTCCATGCAGAGGGATTGAACTGAGCTCTCTACTGTTAAGCTGCATCCCCATTATTTCTGGTGAATTTTATGAAATGAATTATAAATAGCAGTAGTTTATTGTGTTAAAGTGAATTTGAAGTTGGTGAGCATTTTGGGATTCCACTCTGTGACTTTGGGCTTCTTAAGTAGATGAAGTATTTCATGTTCTCCAGCACTGAGGACTTGACATTGGAAAGCCTGAGGGTATTTCAGTAGATATGTCAGGTTGCTAATTCTTCTCATTTGTGAAAACAACTGGCATTATAAAGAGCAATCCTGAACTCAGTGCCTCAGTGGCTCTGAAGCTCAGGCTCAGGAGCAAGAGGGAAATAGATCTCTTAATGTGGCTTTCTTCTTACTGTAGTTTTTATTCGGTGTGTCATTATGCATTTGAGTTAAAACAGCTAAGGGCCAGCCAAACTGCCCTTGTGTGGGTGAGTAAGACAGTGTGGTCTGCTTGGGAAAGTGTTCACTTAGCTTTCCAAAGGACTGTAGATTCCAGTCCTGCTGCTAATTGGAAATTCTGCAGCTGTGGCCCTCCACAGTGAGGCTGGCGCATTGTGAGCTTCTAAGAGCAGTACAAGAGGCTACAGGCCTGCTGGGATAGGTTCCTTCACTCTCAGGGAGCCTGGCTTCCCTTCAGCATCCCAGTAGCGGATCTTGATAGATGCAAATACAGTTCCTCCAAGACTGAATTGCAGAGAGATACTTGTGAGAGTAGGTGAGTGCATCTCCATCTCTCTGTGTCCTTTGAGATTTGAATGTGGAGGGGTTGAGCACAGAGACAGTGAGAATTAAGACAAGATGCCTATACTTACCTGTGAACCCTTAAACCACTTAGACCTTAAACTTCAGGCCTCTGAGCTGGGTTAGTGACAGTGTCCTTTGTGATGTCTTCCAGCCTTTGTCGAAGGCCCCCTTGAGGGTCCCAGGCATTTGCTGTGTGATGTGGAAGATGTTTGCCCACTCCACTACCCAGACGGTGTTGGAGATGGAGTATCATTCTGAGGCCAAGATGGGGCTAACAGGGTGAATCACTAAGACCCCAAGATAAAAGTGGCTCTCAGCATAGAGGGAGGGGTCTGGAGCCAACTGAATCCCCAGGGTAGTTGTCTAGAATCATCCATCACTCTGCTAGGCACCTTTTCCACAGATACATAGTGGAAAATATATTCTATTCCAAGGTGTGTGGGGGATGTTGCTTTTCATAATGTGCCTAATATCCTTGTATGGTGAAATCTACCTCCCTTGCAGGCTGCTGAAGATGTGGAACAAGTCATGTTCTCATTGTGCAATAGTAGCTCAGAATTTTCTCCTCTTTGAACATCAATGTGGATTTCCTTTAAAGTTTCATTGTACAAGACCTTTTCCAAATGGCTCATGCAGCTCAGCACAAACTGTGCCTGATGTAATCTCTGCTATAGATCTTCAACAGACTACTTTCCAGAAACAGTGCATAAAACTGAAGGGAGAAACTAGTTTTATAACACCTGGAGGGGGACTCACTGCCATTTCCCACCATGCCCTAACCCTGCAGGCCTGGACCTGGCTCTTTCGTCCTCTGGTATGTTCTGGTCTCTCCTCGTGGAAAGAAGGGCCCTGTTGAGGATGGCTGGCCCTAGGCAGCTCTGAGGTTCAAAATGTGGAGCCTTATTCTTGGGCCCCTCCAGAATACAGGCCACTGTGCGTGGAATAGAGGTTGTAGGTTGGAACTCTTCCCTGCAGCTGCTTTCCCGTCTCCACTATGTGAGAGCAGGGCAGACAAGAGAAGTGATATCTTTAAATTTCCTATTTTTATTGAAAGTGCTGATATTATATATAATTAAATTGTATTGTGAATTTGTATAAACACTGGTCAGGTTAAAAAAAAAAAAAAGAACATTGGCAGTGCCTGTAGAATGTCCCTTCTTACAACACAATCTCCTCCTCTTCCCAGGGGTAACAATTACCCTGACCTCTAACTCCATTGTAAACTTTGCTTGCTTTTGAATTTCAGATAAATGGAATCAGACCATAAATATGCTACTGTGTCTGACATCATCTGCTCAATATTGTATTTTGATATTCATCTGTGTGGTTGCAGATATTACTGCTTACTGAGTTTTTCATTGCTATATAGAATCCTATCCCATAGCCTATCACTGAGTGAAGCAGAGGATTGCTAGGTCAAGCCCAACCTGAGAAACTTTGTGTTTCCTATACCACAATTTTAGCACTGATTGACTGTTAGATATGTTCTTTCTTTCTTTTTTTTTTTTGGTATGGAGGATTGAACTCATGACCTCACGCTTGCAAGGCAGGCGCTGTGCTGCTGAGCTGAATTCCCAGCCCCTAGATTTGTTCTTAATTTGGGGGGTTTATATTCAGCTGTGAACATTTTGTGCATGTCTCTTGTTAAGCATATATATACATCTGTGGAGTATATTTCTAGAAGTTGAATTACTGTTATGGAGTAGGCACACACTCAGTTTTATTAGAAAGCAATGATGAGTTTTCCAAAGCGGTTTTAGCAGTTTACTCTCCCACCAGCAGTGTGCAAAGGCTGCAGTGTGCAAATGTCACATGCTGGCAAGCATGTGCCAGCATGTGACATTTTCAGTCTTTTTGGTTTCCTTCTAATCAGCATGAAGTGGTATCTCAGTTGGATTTATCTGGTAACTAATGTAGCTAAAACTTGGTTCATATGTTTATTAGCCATATAGCTGTCTTCTTTTATGAGATCTATTCAAGTCTCATTATCTTATTGGGGTGTGTGTGTGTTTGTATGTGTGTGTGTGTGTATGTTTATGTATGTGTATGTATTACTGGTTTGTAGAAGTTTTTTTTTTTTTCACGTCAGAGATTGAACCCAGGATCTTCTCACTGAGATATATCCTCAGAATTTTTATTATTATTATTATTTTTATTTTGAGACAGGTTCTTGCTAAGTCCCTAAATTCTTTGTGGTTGGCTTGAACTTGTGATTTACAAGTTCCCAGTTAATCCTTAAGCTTTTCTTCCCTAGGGCCTGGCATATACTAGGCAAGCACTTTATCACTGAGCTATACCTTGAACTTTTATCCCTTAATTAACTTTCTTTCTTTCTTTCCTTTCCTTCTGCTTTTCCTCCTCCTTTACCACCACTGCAGGTTCTTCCTCTCCCCCTCCTCCTTCACTTCTTCCTTCTCCTCCTCTTTTTAATGCTGCTGAGAAGGGAACCTTGGGCCTCATGTATGGTATACAAATGCTCTACCCCTGAGTCATATGCCTTGTCCTGGACTAATCCCCCAACTACAGAATGTTGATACACAGTAAAATAATCTGGCTTCTCAAATGAGCTTTCAGATTGCTCACCCACACACAGGTGAGTATTTAACTACCTACCTCTCCTCTGGGTGTTGTGTTGTGACAGAATGCCTTTTCCTCTTTATACACAGGGTTCTCGTGGGGGCACCAAAAGCAGATTCTAAATACAGCACTTCAGTTAAGTCCCCAGGGGCTGTATTTAAGTGCCGTGTACACACCAACCCTGACCGGAGATGCACCGAACTGGACATGGCTCGAGGTGGGTTGCAGATCAACGTCAAGGTGGAAGTGAATTCTACACTTTGCTCTTTTTCTTGCTGAAGTGTCCCGTTCATTTACCCACTTATCCATTTGTCCATTCATCATTTTCTCACACAAATGTATATTGAGTACCTGTTAGCAATTAAGCACTGGAATATTCTGGTGAACAAAAGTCTTGTCATCCTGAGTCTTGAAAATTAGTGGTCAAAGAGACATTAAAAGAATTGTAATTGACAGAAGACCACAAGGAAGGTAGGTATTTGGTTGGATCTAGACTGGAGAGTCAGGAAAGGCCCCTGAGGATTGGAAGACTGCATAGTAGGTAGCTAGGGAGGTCTGAGAGGCAGAACCTCCCAGGACAGGGGAGACGACAGCTTACAGTCCAGAGTGAGGACAGTGTAGCTGGAGTGGTGAGTGGAGGAGGTTGGTAAGTGGATTGGGGTGAGATCGTGAGGGCTGAGTGAACTAGGGTTAGGTGTTACATTTTTTTTCTATCTATAGGGGTATTAAAAATCAACTTTAGGCTTTATATTTTAAGTAGGGAAAGATATGATTCAATGGATTTTTTTTTTTTTTTTTTTGGTCTTTTTCCTTTTTTATCGGTACCGAGGATTGAACTCATAGCCGCCTGCTTGCAAGGCAGGCACTTATAATGGATGTTTTTTAAAGCTCACTTTTTTATCTCATGGAAAATACATCTTTGGATTCAGATAGATTTGGCTGGAACTTACTGGGACTGTCCCAAAGCTTCTTTCACTTCAAGCCCTAACACTGAAAAATCAAAATCAAGATTATTTACAAAGATTCCCTTGAGTAAGTAAAATAATGGAGGCAATACATAGGACCGCGCTCAAAAACAGCTGTTTTTCTTAATGTTAAATTTGATGGCATGAGCAGCTATTTCAAAGATAGCAAGATACATTATGGTAGCCATTTTGAATTTACTATTGTCTTGTTTTGAAGTCTTTTATTGCATTCACAATTTTTATTGTTTTTATTCTATTCTGTTCTGTTTGATTTTTACTATTTCCAAAGTTATCTGCAGCTATTTTGGAGACAACAAAAGGTGTTATGGTAACTATGGTTGGTTTTGTAATGTTTTAAAGTCCTGGTTTGTTTTGATTGGTTTTATTTTGTTTTATTTTCCTTGGTTTTATTCTCTTTAAAATAAAAAAGCTTTATAATTATCAGTTCAAGTTTTTGTTTTCTCCAAAGTTTGTCATCAAGATCTTCTAATATTATTATTAGCTGAAAGAGTTATGATTTTCTTTAGCAGAAGAAAGGTGTCAGTAGCATTCCTAGTGCTATTTAGGACAATTGTCTTGATATTGTATAAGACAAAATAGGAACTTGCTCCTGAGTATCACTGCTTCATTCACTGAGTGACTTGCTATGAAGAAAACAGGCTGGATTAAGTAGTGTACATAGTGATGGCATTGATTTACATTTTGTTACAAGTTGCTAGAGTTGATTGACATTTTGTTGTAAGTTTCTTATTTCCTTCAGGTAACAAACATTTGAACTGTGGGCCTTGCAAAGCAGCCTGCAGAGACTGTTCCTCCATCCTAGTCTGATTTCTGTTTTTTCCTTCCAGGGAAGAATCGTGGAGCAGCCTGTGGAAAGACCTGTCGAGAAGACCGGGATGATGAGTGGATGGGGGTGAGCCTGGCTCGGCAGCCTGGGGCGGACGGCCGAGTGCTGGTAAGGCCTCCCTGGCGTTCTGTGAAGAGGAGTGGCTGGCACCTAAGTGTGTGTGATTGTGACATGTTAGGAAGGTGACAGAACAGGGCTCTGAGGTTACTTGTCCTGCATTACTGCTCAGGCAGCTTTTTACTGTTTTTAATCTGCCAAACATTAGTGTTTGGCCCATGGCACTGAAATTTTTGTCATTGAAAAATGACAAAATGTATGTGGTAAGAAGAGTGTAGATATCACTCATTCTATAGTTTTTTAGTGTATATAATAGAGATATAATAAATAGAGGTATAATTTATGTAAAATATACAAGTCTTAAGATTGTAGTTTGTTTTGGCCATTAGGCACAACTGGATCTCACTCCTACACCATGATACAGAATATTTCCATCATCCTGGGAAGTTCTTTGAGCCCAGTCTGGTCAACTTCCTCCCCTTCTGAGGTGGCTAATTCTATGATAGAGGAAGTATTGTACATTACTTTTGCTTTTTCTAGAACTTAAAATAAATGCATTCCCACAGTATGTGCTCTTTTGTGTAAGCCTTTTTTTTAAAGAGCAGTTATTTTTCATCCATATTGGTGTTTTCAGTAGTTCATTCTTACTTGTTCCTATACACTGTTTCACTTTATGAAATATATCCTTTAAAAAAAGAGACAGGGTCTCTCTATATTGCTCAGACTACCCCCAAACTCGTGGGCTGAAGTGATTCTCCTGCCTCAGCCTCCTGAGTAGCTAGGACTATGGGAATGTACCATTGAGCCTGGCCTAAAGTGCATGTTATTTTGATCAGTCATTATTTGCCTTCCAAAGTACACATATTGTGTTCTGATCCATTAGGTGCTTTGAGGAAACAAAGAAATTCTTTGCTATTGAGATTCCCAATGAGCTAGTCATCAGCCACAATTTAGTTAAATTTTCAAAATTGAAAATTCAGTTTTCACCCACATTAGCCATGTTTTAAGTGGTTAGTAGTCACGTATGATTATTGCATGTTGTATTGTTTTAGAAAGCACAGAGAGAATGTTTCTGTCACCTGAGAGAATCTTGTTGTCTGTTTCTCCTTTTTCTTTTAAATCTTTCTGTTAACACACACATCTTGGTGGCTGTTTCCCACGGGTGTGCTCAGCGCCCACTGCTCATTCCCCAGGGGTTTCCTCCTGCTCTTGGCTGCTAATTAGTACCCCTGCTGCACTTCCCAAGGTAACCACTATGACTCCATGGGCATCTTCTGCCTCTGGCTTTTCTTGAAATCTGAAGAAGATTTTTGTCATAAGGCATAAGATCAAGAAGGGAAAATAAGTTAGCTGCTACTTATTGAGGTCTCCTTTGGGCCAAAACTATAATGCTGAGCATTTTTATGTGTATGTTATCCCTAGGAAAACAAATTTTTCATGAGAACTTAAGTAAAATGGTTCCATTCTCTCTCTGAGGAACCCATTTTTGTACTACACTTCTCTATGGCAGAAGCTGTTCATCTGAATTCTACCATCCTGGGTGTAGTTAAGTGTTTCCACTTCCTCAGGTCTATGGGGAGGGAGGAAGCAGCTGGGTGCTGTGGCCAGCATTGCAGGGCCTCCCAGCTTGAACCCACTGTAGGTCCTGTTGAGTCCCCATGCCCCCAAGCCTGCTATTGTTCTTTAATTGTTATGGGGGAGACCCCGGACCCTGACCAAGCTGTCACGTTCTCCTATGCATGGTGGCCTGATGTCATAGATGCGTGGATGACTTGGCTCCAGAAGTGCCAGAGTTCTTGTCTGCCATTTTGGATAAAGAAAGAGAAGCCTCTGAATGTTCACAAAGTGAAGAGTGGCTGGAGTCGTGATTCAGACAGAAAGGAGGGGATGGACGAAATAAAATGTTCTTATGGCACTGAGCCTAGAGCCAGAGTTTGCTCTTGTGAAGATACTTTTTTCTCTTTCATGGGTAATGGTGATGTGATAGCTAAGAACTTATTTCCAGAGGGGCAAGAGAGAGAGGGGAGTTCTGCATCACTGCAAATAAACACAAGAAGGCCAAAAAAAAACCCAACCAAACACACACACACACACACACACACACACACACACACACACACAAGAAGGGGCTGTCTCTGGGGACATGAGTAGCAGAGAGGGGCATAAGGAAGATTTAGCTAAGCCAAGAAGGCAGAGCTGAGTGTTGTAGGTAGTGGTGGGTGGATAATCCTGTGTATTTAATCATGCACAGAGCTATTTTTCTTAAGTCTTGTGCAATAATTACATCACCCATCAGTAAGCCACTGTGCATGGGTGCTAGAAAAGGAGAGGGGCACCTGAGAACATCTGCTATTCTCATTCCCTTTGTTATGACCAGAAACTCATAATGTACAGTGTATCATCTTGACTTTTTAAAAAATGTGCGTAGAACAATAGTATTAACTGGGTGCATATTGTTTTTCCACCAAGTGCTAGAGCTTTTCCATCTTGCACACTCAAAGCTTTATATCCATAGAACATCTTCCTTTTCTCTCTTCCCTTGGTCCCCATGCATTCACATGTCTATATGAAGACTTTAATGTTAGGTCTCATATAAGTGTTATCACACAGTAAAATTTGTTCTTTTGTAACATTTCTTTCACTTAGTGTGATAGCTTCAGGGTTTATCCATATTGGAGTATATGACAGGACTTTCTTAAGGTGGAATAATTTGTATGTATATGCTTTATTTTCTTCATTCATTGATGGGCATCTGGGTTGTTCTGTCTCTTGGCTGTGGCAAATAATGGTGCTATAAATATGCATCTACAAATATCTCTGAGATTCTGCTTTAGCTCTTTGGGCTATATACCCAGCAGTAGGACTGCTGCATCATATAGTAATTTTAGTTTTTGAGGAACCTCCATGCTGTTTTCCAAAGAGGCTGCAACATTTTGTATTCCCACCAGGAGTGCACAAAGGTTCCAGTTTCTCCACATCTTTGCAAGTCTTTCAATGCTAGGAATTGAATCCATGGCCTTGTACACCCTGAACATATGTTCTCCCAGTGACCCACTCTGCCTGCCTGACCTATTTTAAACAGTGATATCCTGTTGAATGTGAGGCAATATTTCACAATGGCTTTGGTTTGCATTTCTCAGCTGGTTGAAGATGTTGAGCATCTTTTAATTTACTTATTGGCTTTTTGTATATTTTTGTAGCAATGATTAAGCCTTTGCCCAATTTTTTTTTTTTTGTCTTTTTTTTTTTTGTCTTTTTCATCGGTACCAGGGATTGAACTCACGACCGCCTGCTTGCAAGGCAGGCGCTTATGCCGCTGAGCTAAATCCCCAGCCCCTTTTGCCCAATTTTTAAACTGGATTATTTGTCTGTTGTTATTGAGTTGTCCTTGTGTATCTCTTCATGGATACTGGATCCAGCTTGTCCTAAATCCCTTCTTTATTTTGAAACAGGATCTTGCTTGTAGTTCAGGTTGGCCTTGAATTTGCAGTGATCCTCCTACCTCAGCCTCTCAAGTTCTGGGATTACAGGCACGCACCACCACACCTGGCCTCTAAATCCCTTCTTGTTTGACTTTCTCCCTCTTCCCCAGTTTTGGCTCTGCCTCCTCCACAAAGTCTGTTATGGGCTATCTTGAACAAGCTTAGCATCTTCTGTGTCACCAGGAGCTCTGTGTTACATCGTTACCTTATACTGTGTGTATAATTTATTTTGTGTTTATGTGTTCCCCACCTTTTTATAGAAGTCACTTTGGGATGGAAATCACTTTTACTCTCAGTGCCCCAAGGACATCTCTCCTAGGAATGGTATCTGAAGATGTGCTTAAATAATGAGAACTGAGGGTCAATGTTAAAATAATTCGAAACCAAATTAGTCACCTTGTCTTGGTGGCTGATTCTAAGTGACTGCTGAAAATATGAGGCAAGGTGCTATAAAATGCCCCTTAGAAATAAAATGTGACAAGGTACGTTGAGTGAACACTTAGCCTTTTTATTTATATTTTGTATGATATTTATCTATTTGCATTTTCTTTAATGTCTCCATTCTCTTTCAGGGCTTTCTGGGGGTGGGTATTTGTTTTAAAATGAAACATAGAGAGCATATGTTTTGTTCAGATACATTTTGAGGGTTTGAGAGGTGCCTGGGGATGTAGGGGTGAGACCTGTATCCTTAGCAGTACAGTATTGGATATCAAGGATGGGTCTGAAGATGAGGTTGTGCACCTGCTTTGAAAGGGCCTTGGGTGCTAATTTCAAAGTAAAGAACAGATGGAGAATTTGAAAGCTGTGATGACAGAGAGTGAAGCATCTTAAGTGGAAACCTGGACAAGCTCTTCCAAGAGCCAAGATGTCAGGCTAGTGTAGTAGACAGACCTTCTTTGTACCTCTCCTTTTCCTATTCTTCCCTGTTCTGCTCCCTTCCTTCCTCACAATTCATAGGGGAGATTAAATTAATAATACTTTGTATTAGGTAGTAATAACTTTGTATGAATATGTTGTATTAAGTTATTAATACTTGTGTGTTTTGGCTCCGTGAACATTTTGATATCTTCTAGTTTGCCCCTGCGAAATAAATGATGCCTTGTCTAAATCAGCCTTGAAGGCAAGTCCCTTCCTTTTTGTACCCTCCTTATGTATCCCAGGGTGCAGATGACTTTTTAAGAAATAGAGGAAAAAAAGATCATTTCTTATAATAACAATGGAACAAACCTAGCTCAGGCACTGACTGTTTCTTTTAGCCTTGGAGGGCAACTCAATGTTCAATTTTGATGTTGCTTCTTTTGGTCAGAGTTATCGAGGGTCAGACAACAAGTAATTTAAGTTTCTAGATTATTTCTGAGTGGAAACAGTGTTCTCTGGCCTTATCTCTCCTGTTTCCTTTCCCTATCTTCTCATTGCTTCCCACGCGTCCATTTTTAAAAAACTAGAGTACATTTTGCATTTACTGCTTTTGCTCTGTTTTCTGACTTTTTTGTGTGTGCCAACTTTTTACTGAACTATAACACACAGAAAAAGTGCACAGATCATCAGAATGTACCTCACTGAATTTTCATTAGAGGGACATCTGCTGAAACACATTCTTGGCACCCTGGAAGTCCCTTCCTGGTGTCTTCCCAGCCCCTGCCTCCTCTTTGGTTGAGAGCCACTTTGTGGAAGTCTGATGATGTCCCAGCCTCACTTTGATCCTGTGTCCTCACACACTGTTCCCAATGGCCTGGAGCTGAACCTGGCTGTGCGCTGTAGACCTGGAAGCTGGAGAGAGGCTCTGGCCATCTGTACACAGATAGTGCACATTAAGACGGTGGAGTGGAGACTGAGAAGCCTTTGTGGCTGAGCCACCTGGAGAAACTCAGAACCCACCCTCCAGGAATGATGTGCTGTATCCATACAACAAAGAAGCCTTTGAAATAAATTGTTCTACTTCTCTTTACTTCTCTTTATTCCTTGGGAGAAAAAACAGCTCTTCTTACTTCAAATATGTTAGATTCTAAGATTCTGGGTGGTAGTAGGTCCTCTGCTCATTTCTTAGGATGATTTGGAGACTGAGTATGGTTGAACTCAGGGCCGTGTACTAAGGTAACTACTCTACCACTGAGCCTTAGGCCCAGCTCTAAGCAAGTCTTCTTGTTTCCAGAGAACACTCTCCTTTTCCTATTCTTCCTGGCTCTGCTCCCTTCCTCCCTCAAAATTCATAGGGGAGATTAAATAATAATACTTCGTATTAGGTAATAATAACTTAATAACTTTATATGAATATGTTGTATTAAGTTATTAATACTTTGCAGAAAGCCCCTTGGACTGTTTTTTAAGGTAGAGATCAGATTGCTGTGAGTATATAATGATAACCAGGCTAAACATAGTGTTTTCTTTCTGTGATTTATGTTCAGAGACCCTTTTAATTGTTTTCCCACGTGGACCCTGCCTTTGACACTTTGCTCTCTGTCTTCCCACAGTGCCTGAATTTTATATTAATGTGAAATACACTATTTGAATCTTCTAGGAATTCTCCAGGGTTGCTCCTAAATAGCATATGATGTTAAATATAGTAAGTCCTACTTGATGAGTGTCAGTGTGCAGCTCACTGTTAGCACTGTGATTGACAGCTGCCTCTTCAGCCCAGAAGTGTGATGGAACATGGTGAGACTTCCAAATCACAGATTTTGCGGAGTCCCTAAGCTAACATGTATTTACCCAGGGATTAGACAATAAGTGATTCAAGTTTGTAAGCCATTTTCAGAGCTGAAAATATAAAAATCAATTACATTTAGCCTTTCCTATTTGTGGTTTTTGTAACTATGGATCAAAAATGTTTTAAAAATTTATATTTATATTATAGTATATTATATTATAGTAAGCATTATAGTAAGCATTGTAAGTAATCTAGAGACAGTTTAAGGTATATGGGCAAGTATGTGTAGGTTGTATGCAAACACATTACCATTTTATATAAGGGATTTGAGCATCTGCAGATTTTGGTGTCTGAGGGACATCCTGGAATCCAACCCCTATATAGGAAGGGATAATTATAAATAGCACTCTGTCTTAGTTACTTTTTACTCGTTGCTGAGACAAAATACCGGAAGTCCAAAGCTGGGAAAGGAAAGGTTTATTTCTTACAGTTTTTGGAGGTTTCAGCCCATACTCAGTTGGCTCTAAGGCAGGGTGGCATGGCTGGGCCGCAATTCATGGCAGCTACAAACAGCAAGGAGGAAACCGGCAAAAGAGAGTGAGACACACCTTCTTCCTGCCATTACATTACATCCTGGCTCCACCCCTAGGCAGGTGTAGCACTCACACCCCTAATCCAAATGCTAAACAATGAACCAGTCACAAATGCATAATGTAAACGCATGAGGCCTGGGAATCACCAACATAAACCATGACACTGTCTGCTTAGTGGTATTTTTTTAGTTCCTGACCACATATTTCTATCTCTTGAGAAACACACAGTTAGCACAAAATAGTACCAAGTGGGGAGGGATGAGGGTGGATTAGAGTAGAAGGAGTAGCAATAGATCAGTTTTTGTTGTTTAATGTTTCAGACAACAGGTAGAGTGTGGGCAAGAGCAGCTTTCCAGTCATTTTGTTTTGGGTAGAGAATGGCTTGTCAAGGGCCCTTGTGGCATTTAATTTGACGGGATAGAGAGCAGAGCTTCAAAGGCAGTGATCTTATCATTGAAGGATGTCAGAGAGAGACAGGTTTGGGGTATCCTTTTACTCCCTGTGGCCTCAGGCATTGCATTCCATCCCAGCTGGTTACTTAAAGGTCCTGAAACCAGTGTGGAGGACTGTAAGTATAATCAAACTTCCAGAGACTTGCCTTGGACGGTGGATTTTGATGGTTTCTCAGGCAAGAATTAGGGGCCTTAGGATACAAAATGCTTTATAGTGAGACAGGACACACAAACTGGATTCTGGTCCTTTTGCAGCATATATACCAGCTCCAGAACTTAGGCGAAGCCCTCTTGGATACTCCATGCCCATACAGAATATAACCGTACTAAGGACACTTCCTTTTCCTGTCTTGTGGGGTAGCAGAAGCCAGTGGCAGAGTATAAGAATGCTGTGTCGGAGTCCATGGAAACTGTGTCAATGGAGGAAACCAAGACATTAAAATCTCTGATTATTTTAAAATTCAGTACTTTAAGAAAATGCATCCTCTGGCCAGAAAGAAGTGAACTGAATCTAGGAGCAAGCAGGACATGCTTTGGAGAGCAGGCTGGGCTGGGCAGAACATGTGCTCATCAAGGGAGCAGGTGGGCACCATGTTAGTGTTGGGGCTTGTAGGTGTGTGGAGACATCCACATAGAACTGGGACAGGAGTCACATCCGAGCAGGAGGCAAGGGCACGTTTTGGGGCATGATGGAGGAGACAGTTGTGAATCATGGCTGCTGGTCCCTGGTGCATTGCCTGGTGAGAACTATCCTGCTGCAGAGGTCTCCGTGCAGGTTTTGACCCCAGTCCTCGTGGCTAGAAGCTGTGTGCTATGAGGCTGTCTTGAGTGTGGCGAAGGGGCCCTTCCTGACCTGGATGGCCTTCTCATCTCCTCACATACACTACCATAAGCTCTCACCCACCCTTTGGACCGCTTCTCTGACTTGCCTATTGAATCTAGCCACTCCCTGGGACCAGAGGACTTTCTGGTGAGATAGAAATATTCTGCCTTGTTAGGGTTTTAGTGATAAGAGCACAGACATCTGACACTATGTATTAATTGCTGTGATGGAGATTTGTGCATTTTGCTGTATGCCAATTTGCTTTAGTAAAAGAATCATCAATAAAAGCGTTTACTTCTACTGAAGGAAATGCACATAGACACATCTCTGCAGATGAAAGCAGTTCCATATGGGCAGTTCCTCCTTTTCCCCTTTTCCCCATGCCCAGCTTTCTTTTGAGCCTGTTGTATTTCTGGCATGTATCCTCAAGACTCCCTTCTCACTTCCACTGTTCCACCTGATCCAGGCCAGGAGCATCTGACCTGAGGGCCTGGTATGAAGGTGTGGCTGGGCAGGAAAGAAGGCAGCTTCCTGTTTCCTCTGCTCTTGTCTCCTCCTGCAGAACCACCCACACTGTGATCTTGAGGCTGACTTTCCTGCTTTCCCTCCTCTCTCCCTTTTAGGCCTGTGCCCACCGCTGGAAGAACATTTACTATGAAACAGATCATATCTTGCCTCACGGCTTCTGTTACATCATCCCATCCAATCTCCAGGCAAAAGGCAGGACACTAATCCCTTGCTATGAAGGTGAGTATGAATTAATTATCCTGCATCTTCCTGTTCACCTCTTGCCTCATTCTCTCTAAATGTACTTCTACCTGGACAGTTTTGCCAGCTTCCTACATATACTGAGAGACAGCACTGCTTGCCTCTAGATGGGCTATGGTACAGAAGGCCCTGCCCAGGTAAGAGACAGATGCAAAGAGAGCAGTAGTTTCTCATCAAGCCTAGCCTTGCCTCATTCCTATTTAGAGCTTATAGTGTTTACCAAGCTTTATAAAACGTCAGTGACTAAAATTCACCAAACTTCCACCAAGAAATTAAACATTCTTTGGTTTTCTGGCACTTCCAGATGCTGTGGGGTCCTGGAAAGCTAGCTTACTTCAGTTTCCTTACCCAAAATGTTGAGGAATGTCCCAAATGATTGCTCCAGGTCTGTGTATCTGATTATTAGGCTCCCACAGAACTCTTGGCTGCACTCTGAACAGATATTTTAAGGCAAGGGGAAGATAAGACTCAGGATTCATAAAGCAGCAGTGTGACAGAAATTTAGTGCCCCCACACATGAAGTCATCCTATGACATCTGAGCTTTCCTTCCCGTGTAATCCTAGAACTTGGACAGATGTTGTAGATCTCCAACAATGCAATTTTAAGAGCTCTTCACTGAGGTGTACTTGGGATCATATAAGGAAAATGTGTCTTCTCAGGCAACCTGCTTAGAATTTCAAATGGAAGGCTGGGGATACAGTTTGGTGGCACAGGCATCTGCCTGGCAAGTGCAAGGTCCTGAGCTTGATTTCTAGTACCCCCCGCCCACCCATAAAGGCAAATGAAAACACTAATAGATGCTGGGGATGGTCAAGTTGATGGCTGTTTAGTTCAGTTGAAGTTGAACTCTGGGATTCAGAGAATGCACGCCTTTTCATTTTGATAGCTTCTGCTCTCAGGTTTTCTTGACCTTGTTCTGGTGATTTGGAACCTGCTCCCTCTGTAGTTTTTATAATACCCCAAAATTTATTTGTTTGGACAGAAATCTCACTGGCCTGAGTCCACATTGTCTTTGGGCTTCCATGGCTTTCCAGGTTTCATATTTTGTGGTCATCAAGAGGGCTCTAGGAAATGCTGTGTGTGTACTGCATTGTTCCTGCCTGTGGAGGTCCCTCCCTGGCTCTTTGGGAACTCAAGTGGCCCAAACCAGCTGGTCCCCAAGAAGAGCCCCCATGCAGAAGGGACAAGCCCTTTGGTCCTCTGACTGACTGGGCCATGCAGGGAAATTGAATTCCAGCCTTGTTTATCTCTATATTTTCCTAGTTAGAAGAAAAATTTCATCCTAAAAATAGTATAATTATTCAGGGGAAGGATAGTTAGAGATCCACAGATAACATATCAAGACAACAGCTTCCCAGCTGTTCTTTCTCTTTCTCCAGGAAGAAAGGGGAAGGCCCCTGGGGCAACTTGTCTCAACAAGGATCATCAGGCTGGGGAAAGTGAGGAACCAACAAGGAGAATGGAGACAGGGGTTACCGAAGCCAAACTCATTATTCAGTAGTACCACCACTTTCATCTTTCAAAAAAAATGATGGGTTGTGAAAAGGAGACCTGTGGCTATCCCTGGTGGCTCCTCTGCATACCACATGAGGACCAGAAATAAAAAGTCCAGTCCTTTTGAAGAGGTATCTGGGGTCCAATGTCCATGTCCATGTCTCTGTACCCTCCATGGCTCACACTTCTAACTTTGATAAAGCAACTGTGGGGATTAGCAGTAGGAGGGTGTTGGACTGGGGGCTTTAAAAATTCTTTTACTTAATCATCACAAAACTTATAGGAAAGTTTTTGTTTTTAAACTTGGATTTGATCATAAGTCTTGTAATCCACAAACGAGCCCCCAAACTTGAATTTAAAAAATGAGGCAAGAACATATTTTAAAAAGCAGCACTGATTTATTTTATCTTGGGCCCAGCAACACAGTGCAGTTGGAGATTGTAAAAGCTGTGTGTCTTTCCTCTACACTTGCCGCCCTTAAGTACATATCATAATTTACAAAGTAAGGGGTTATGGGCGTGGATCAGGAAATGAGAAAATTCTCGATCCACTAAGAAATGAGGAAGACCTTTGTTTCCCTTTGCAGAGGACAGAGAAGTCATGCAGCAATTTATAATTCTTTACAGAGGAGAGCATTGATTAACATATCAATTAGGTCACCCAGAGGCAAAGAAACACCCATATAGAACAGTAGGCCACATTACAGGTATTTTGGTATAATATAAATATAACAAAGCTCTTTTTGCTAGTGTACAACATTTCCTACTGATTTTAGTTAGTGAGTCAAATCATTGACTCATAGGTATCTGTTTATAACCTTGTGTGCGTCTTTAAAATCATAAGCTTTTAAGATTTTTGACAGTTTATTAACTTGTTTACAATACAAAGTCCAATAGGAGGATTAACAAAGGTCTTGCAGCTGTCATTATTAAAGCTGTTAACCAAAAGGAGAAAGAAAACTGTGATAGCTCGGACCCCAGAATAAAACCCAAGGAAGCAAGAAATTAAAATTTGGGGAGCAAAGGCTTCATTTTAGGCCAGGCCTTGGTGATGCAATCCCTGGGAGCCAATTTGGAGACTGTGCATCTTTACAACTAGAAAGGTTGGATTTTAAAGCCAAAAACCACAGGAATGTTGCAAACTTTGACCTAGTTAGATAGTATCTGGGCCTTACAGAACTTCCTGTAATTTCCTTAAAGTTAAGCATTTCTTAAAGAACAGCACATTTTATTACAGATAGCTGGATGAGGGGTAGGGGAGGGGGTTACAGGAAACTGATACCTAAGGCTTTTACAGCTTTCTCAGGAAATAGAAACTTAACCTAGAAAGATAGGAAGGGAAGGGGGGGGCTGAGCAGTGCATACAGAACAGAAATGAGGTGCAATGGTTAAAACTAGGCTATAACATTGCCCTCTGATGTTGTGACTGAGGTCAAATCTTTGAACTAATTTTAAGGATTTTGAGGTACGGGCTCCTACATGTGCTGGCATAACATTATCAGCTTTATGCCTTGCATTTGTTGTCTGATATATGCAGTTATTCTATTGAGTATATAAGGACCTACTGTGACCAGGAGCAGTATCCCTAACAATGGTCCAAGCAAGGGCAGGAGATAGGGCAGGATTCCATTCTAGATACTCCATAAAGGGTTTTCAAATAGCTCTCTCCTCCTTTTAACTAGGTCTTCCTGTAGTCTCTTGATTTTATCCCCTTCTGTTTTGGAGAACTACTTCAGCCAATGCGTCTATTTGGTCTTGAATGACCTGAATGGTACTAGATAATGCCTGCACATCACTAACGATCTGGTTGGAAAGTTGGACAGAAACCCCTATTCCTGCTGCCCCCATACCTAAGGCTCCTGATATTCCTAGGCCTACTAATAAAGGGATAAATTGAACTGCCCTCTTTGATCAGCCTGTGATATAATCTAAATTAGGAATGGGGACAGGCTCATCCCCATGTAGGATCTCTATATCAGGCAATAGGATAGCTGTTACACATATCCCTGTCCAGTTAGTTGGGAGGAAAGCATAGGCTATATTTCCTCCACAAATAAATATTTGCCCTTTGGTGGGATAAAGGGAGGTAGTTCGGTTAACAATTTGTAAATGCAATGAACCCCACATCAATGTCAGAGGTATCATTATGAAAACCTCCTTGGAGACAGAGTCCTTGAAGCCTACTGGTTGTACTCTAAAGGAGGGACCAGCACTACAATTTAAGTAATCTTGTTCCTCCAGCGTAGTCAGAGAAACATTGGTGGGCATCACAAAGAAATGGGGGAGCCCTGTGCCATGCAAGCAATCTTCAGCCAAAGTTGGGTTGGAAGCATTTAAGGCTTTATAAGTGGCCTCCAGAATATCAGAAGTTTGAGCATCCAGATCAACTCCCCACAATTTAGACAGCATCAAGGGGTGGTAATGTATCTGGGGAAACATTTTTAATAAGAACAATTCTGAGGGCATGGCCCTGGCTGGCTACCTTTGTTAGGTATCATGCGGGGCTTTAACATACACATCCACTTTTGAGTCAAACCCCCTGTAACTGAGGCTATAGCAACAAGGAATGCTAACTTGTCCCCACAATCTGCCTGAAGACTGTGTGTATACAATTTATCATTTGTGTGGGAAGGATCTCTATCCTTGTTTCCTACTGTATGTATAATCCCCCCTAGTTGGTGTCTTTACCTTTAGTAATATAGCCCCCTCCGCAATCATAGGGGCTCCCATACAAAGATCTTAACAATTGTTTTTTGCTTACAGGGGGACGAAAGCCACCGTGCAAGGTCGGCATCAATGTTATTAAAATCAAAGCAAGCAAGCTAAAACAGTTCATGCCTGACATAATCTAACTATGTTTTAGTCAATTTTAACTTAAGGGGTTACCAGTCCGTTGTACAGTCCATTGAGAACACCCCTCACTGTCTGTTGCTTCCAATGGTTTGACATGGGTAAGGTGAATCCACGCAGTCTTTCCTGCTACCTTGATGGCGGTGGGAGTGCTGAGCACCACGGTGAAAGATCCTTCCCATCAGGGGTTCGAGGGACTCTTGCTGGTGGCATCACACTAAGACTGGAGTCCTTGGCTCGATCGGTGCCTTGAGAGCGTCTCTGAAGACAGATCCAGGTGTTTTTGTCTAAATAGCTGGTGGATTGAAGTCAACATGTGTTGAAGAGTCTGCAGGGACTTAATGAGATCTTGATTAGTTATTTCAGCTAGTTTATCTTCTGATAATCTTGGAACCAATGGCGGGGTTTTCCCAAACATGGCTTCAAAGGGGGAAATTCCAGAAACATATGGGGTACATCTAGCTCTTAACAGTGCAAAGGGAAGAAGGCTCACCCAATTATTGCCAGTTTCTAAAGACAGCTTAGCTAAAATGTCCTTGAGAGTTTGGTTCATACGTTCTACTTGCCCTGAGCTTTGTGGCCGATAGGCACAGAGGAGTTTTCCGATTAATCTTTAATCCCTGGGCTAACTTTTG